TCACGTTAGCAAGGGAGGGGTCTGGGCACTGCTGGGTGTTCATCCCCCCATCCCTCTCCTCCAGGCAGGGAACGGACCAGGAGCCTTTTCCCTCTGGACCCTGACATCCCCAACTCCTTTTCCACCCTGTCCCTGGGCCATCAGCCTTATGTTTAGAGGAGGTTTGGGGTTCTGAGCTGCTGGAGGGGTGCGACTTGAGGCTCAGGGTGTGAAGCTCACATGGAGCAGTGTGTTCCAAGCGCCCCAGCCAAGCCTGCCCTGCAAACGCTCCATGTCGCCCCGTGGGTGGGGGTCAGGAGCAGCCCTGGGAGACCCCAGCCCCAGAGGCGGTGAATTGGGGTGTGGGAAGGGCGGGCAGTGCCGGACTGAGCTCAGCTGGGAAAGCATCTCCCTCTCCCAGAGGCAGCTGAGGCTCTGACACCAGTTTTTCCCCCTCCTTCCATTTATTTTTACAGCTCAGTTTCGAAAGAATCCTGCCTGGCTCCAGCCCTGCATTCCTCCCCCCTCATTAACCCAGAGGCCGTTTGCCTGAAAACAGGATCTGGCCCACAGCTCACCAGGCTCTCTTCCCTTCTCCCTGCCCCTTGCCGGGAGCCCTGGACCCGGGGTTATGGTGCTCCCGCCGCGCCAATCCTGCTCCCATCGGAGAGGAGGAGGAGGAAGAAGCAAAGGTTGGAGGCCAAATCCTGCCTTCCGCTCTGCCCACGCGGCCTCGCTTCCGGATGGGATCCAGCCCCTCTTCACCCGCCGTGGTAAACAAGGCTGGGAGGGAAAGGCGAGGAAGCGGCCAGGGCTGGATCACACCCTCCCCTTCCCCCTTCGCCTTCCCAGCCTCCCCCAGGGATGTGGAGCGATGCACGGACACCCCTGGATGCTCGGACATAGACAGCCCCTGGCTTCACCCCAGGGGAAAACTCCCCGCCCCCCCAAAATCTAGGGGTGCCGGCACGGGTGTCCCCTCCCCGCTGCGGGCAGCCGGACTGGGAGGGGTGCGTGGACTTTGGCCCCACTCCCACACCCGGCTCCCCGTCTGCGTCACACCCTGCTGCCTGGGTGCAAAGGGACACCGAGCCCTGCCAGCCCACTGCCCTCCTCAGAAAGGGCACAGCAGACACCTCTCGCCCCCTCTCCTCCTCCCTGACCCCCCCAAATACCCAAGGGACCTGCAAGCACAAGGGGATACGGAGGGTGCAGGGAGCCCGGATGCCCTGGGGGTGCTAAACCTCCCAGTCCCAGGCTCGGAGAGATGCAGAGACGTACTCCTGGAGATTTTGACCCTAGTCATACCCAGAAGGTCCAGTGTGTCCCCCTGTGGCCAGAGAAGTGCAGTGAGACTGGTGGGAAGAAGGGACAAGTCCTTATCCCACCTGGCCTGCACCCCCCGCCCCCAGCCCCTCCAACTGACCCAAGGCCACGTCCCAGCCGTGTCCCAGCCCCAGGGGAGCAAGCTCAAGCATCCCCACTGGCCACCCCACTGCTGCCTCAGCTGGGGAGGGAGGATGAGGAGGCACAAGCGGTGGTGGGTGGGGATGCAACGCAGCCCCTGGCTCACGAGCTGCTGGGCAAGGCCATCCTGGAGCCAACAGCAATGGTGCCGGCTCCTGCTCACACCTCGAGGCTTTGGGCAGCAGCTATGAACTCCACGGCATCACTTGAGGCAAAACCTGATCTGGGACCCAACAGCCCCAGCAGCCTCTCCTAGGCTGGGGTGAGCAGGGAGCCGTGCCAGCAGGGACCATGCTGCCTCCCTGGGAGCCACAGGCAATGGTCCCCATCCTCAACCTCATCCCCATCACTGCACAGCATCATCACTGCATCCCCATCCCGCTCCCCGTGCTGCTCCCGCCCACGTGGGGCTATCGCGCAGGAGAGGGCATCACCAGGGGAGAAGAAGAAGCCACCCTTACCTTTCTGGAGGTGGATGATGTCTGGGAAGTTGGAGAGGAGCCCTTGGTACAAAGAGAGAGTATCCAGCATGAGGAACAGATCATTCTTGGGCTGCTCGGCAAACATCTCCCCCACGGTCTCATATGTCTTGCCCGTGTGGGAGATGGCATTGTTGAGGGCGTCCGAGCTGTAAGGAGGATCCATGTGGAAGGAATGGCTGATGGCTTGGAAAGCGTTGCCCAGCTTCTGGAACTCCTTCCGGAAGCCCCCCACGTGCTTGCGCACCAGCTCCGAGGCCACGTTGGTCAGCTGCAGGACGCTGTCATCCATCTTCTTGCTGAAGGCCTTGAAGGCGTCCACACGGTCCTCCACGTCCTGCAGGTCCTGGTGCTCCGTGGGGATCTGGATGGTGAGAAGGAAGCTGGCACCCACCATCTCGTCCTTCTCCGCCCGGCGTTTGCCCAGCTTCCACTGCTTCTCGTCGCGGCAGCAGAGGAAGTGCTGGAAGCCCTCGTACTGGGAGAGGACGGGGTGGCTGGTCATATGGTCCATCCAGAGGATCAGCCGCCGCTTGCGCTTCTCGATGAAGTCCTCCTCGAAGCGCCCGGTGGCCTGCTTCTCGGGCAGATGGGGCACCGAGATGACTGTGAACTTGTGCAGGAGGCGGTTGTAGAGCCAGTCAAAGTGCTTGTACCGCCGGTAGACGGGTGAGTTGATGTTGCTGGGGGTCAGCTTGTAGGAGATGTAGCTCTTGATGCCCTTGAACTTGGTTTGCTTGGTCGGGTCCTCCACAGAGCAGATGAAGGGGTGGGGGTTTGCCCTCCACTGGGGACCTTTGGAGCCCATCTCGATGCAGTACACCTCGGCAATCTTGGACATCAGGGGCACGTCACCCAGGATGAAAGCTTCCACCCCCGAGCGGACGAAGCAGGAGAAGCGGTTGAGGTTCCTCCCCACCACGCTGCCCCTCTTGGAGGAGCTCATGCTGTCCTGCCTCTCCAGCGCCGGCTTGGGACGGTAACCAGCGTGCTGGTGGTGGCCATACGCCCCCGGGTACTGCAGGCTGGGTGAAGGGTGCCCATTGGTGCCTGGCGTGCTCCGGGGCTCCTCCACCACCGTGCAAGCATCGTCCCAGTCATCCCAGTCATCATCGTCGTCGTCCTCAAAACTGCCCTGGTAGGAGATGCCAGGGTTGGGGGAGGCTGTGTAGAAGGAGGAGTCATGCCCAGGGGAGCCGGCTGGGCTGCTGGAGTAGTCCGTGTAGTTGGAGCCGGAGCGGGAGCGGAGGATTTCAACGTAGGAGGCAGGGAAGAGGCCGGTCTCCCCGCGGCTGTTTTGGCCCTGTAACCACCCATCCAGGGAGTTCTCGCTGAAGATGATGAGCTCCTCGTTCTCCTGGATGCTGATCTCCTCTTTGTTTTCACTCTGGAAGTTGTAAAGCGCTCTGGCTTTCAACGCCATGGCCGGTCCCAGGAGGGGGGGGACACGGCGTAAGGCAGTCCTTGCAGTCAAAAAAACCCAACCCCCCAAAACCCCCCCCCCCCCCCGCTGACACCGCAAACTCGCTCGGTTCCGGGGCCACCTCGCACTGTGGGAAAAGGCTGGGCCAGTTTCTCAGGGAAATAAAAAAAGGTGGAGAAGAAATCCCCTACGAGGTGACGCCGAGGTCCGCATGTCCAAGTAACCCCCGCGATCCCAGCGCCCCGGTTAAAAACAACATTCCTGGTCAAGCCAGCGGCATCTCCCTCGCTCCTAGGAGATGGAAACCTGGGCCGGCCGGAGAGCCGGCCTCGGCCATGTCCACGCAGGTTTTATCTTGCTGGGACGCTGATCCCGCGGTTTCACTTTCCAGGAGGGAAAGATCCGGCTTCCAGCGAGGAAATAAATCCCAAACGACTTTTCTCAGGGCTCCTGTGGATAAGCCCCCCCCAAGCCCCCCCCGCCAGCGGCTGCCAGCCGGGGGGTGCCGGGAAAGCGCCGGGAACCGACCCCAAACCCAGCTCAACCTCGCGGTGCTCCCGGCCCCCGGGATTTTGCAATTCCTTTCCGGGCCGACTTTCCCGGTGTTTGGTGGGGTTTGTTGTTGTCGGTTTGGGTTTGGTTTGGTTTGGTGTTTTTTTTTTCCCCCTGAAACCCGCCAATCTCACGCAGGACGGAGGGGAAGGGCCCCGCAGGCAGGACAGCACCGGGCCGGTACCGGCAGCAGCCCCC